AAGTGTGTCTACTTTAAAGAAATGTAAAAGACAATTTATGTTTTGAGTGGGGAAGGGGAAGATAGAAGGACAAAGGAGAATAGAGACAGAGGAGAAAGGAAATGGAAAAAGGATGGTGTTTTAAGAGATGAAGGTAATGACAGGCAAAAAGGACAAAGATCGGTACATGAGGAAATGGAGATTAGTGGGCAGATATAGTGGAGAAATGGAAAAAGGAGGTAGAGGAACTGATTAAAAGGGAGATAGGTGAGCAAATAAAACAAGGAAATAAAGAAATTACAAGAGGAAATAGCAGCATAAAGAAAGTATTTTGAGAACAGGTGGAATACCTGGATGGTACAAGTAAAAGATAAACAAAAGGCTATAAACAAGAGGCTTTAAACAACAGATTTGATAGGATGGAGCACTGGGGAGAAGAATAAATCATGGGGAAAGAGAAGCAGATGTAGTGGTAATACAGAAGGATGCTGGTATGGGGCGTTGGATGTAACGCAAAGTTCAGGGAAATTTAATGAAAAGGAAAAAATTATCTTTTACCAACACCTACTAATGCAGGTCTTATTATCCTTTCGTGCAATCATTTTCATATTTTTTATACAACTACAATTGTTTCAGCTTTTTTACCTCCAACCTCCTGAAATTATTTTATATCAATAACTGTTGTGCATATTGATAATTAATGACAGCATGTTTTACTTACAAAATAGATCTTACTTGTTGAAAGTACTTCATGTTGATTAGGGTCAAATTTTTCTTCTATTGAACTTACTTAAATTAAGCCATGCTTCTTAAACACCTAAAATATTACACAGAAACTTTCATATGATAATACTCAATTTATTCTGTTTATATTTTTTATATAAAAAAGAATTAAATTATCTTACTTTATATAATTGTGCTTCTGTGTAAGATGTAACGCGCGATGTATGTGCATTCATCCAAATTACTTTTCAACCAATCCGGTCTTTACAGCCTCTAGTTTATCTTCTACTTCTACCATCCAGGTATTCCACCTCTTCTCAAAATCTGTACCAAACTGAAATGTTAAGAAAATTGCATGCCACATTAATTTTACGGCTGTCTATTGATTTTGAAGAGAAAATGGATACTTTTCCGAGCATTTAACAAATATAAAGCTTAAGCGATTAAAAATGTAGTTGTAAAAGTGTACATTTTACCTTTAAATACATGCACTTCTTTTAGAAATGTTTGTTACCTAATTCTCGTCCGTTAAGTCTGCATCGTCTGGGTCTGCCCTGTCCTTCCAAAAATTACGTGCAATATTCTCTTGTGCGGCTGGCCTACGTGAACCATGTTTTTTACTCCTTACTCTCTTCTTCGCAGCTCGCAGAGCCTCTATCACGTTTCTTTGAAACTCTTGTCGAGACGGTTTCGTGAAGTACGGATTTTTACATACAGCATCTGAAAAGTAATGCAACATGTATTACTCAGTACTTTATTTGTGCATGCGAAGGAAAATTTAAGAAATAGTACCAAAAATGGCCATCACAAGTTGTGTATCGTATAATGGCTTGTGTCCTTTGTGGCCCCACCACGTATAAGAAAGAGTCATCGAATCGATGATGCTTTCTTTCAAACATAACGTGATTACTTCTTTCACGTTGAAACCACCAATGTTACATGAATATTGCACCTAGAGCAACAAATTTGCATAAAAAAATAAAAAAACAATATACAATTAAAATAAATTTCGCAATGAGTGACAGTGTAATGATTTTGTAACAGTCACACCCGTTTTTTGTAATAAGTTTAATAATACGAATTAATATTCATGGTAAGCAATATATTGTTATTCGAAATTTCATTTACATTACTTATTGCAGGAACTGTAAGATTAAAGAAAAGTGTAGAAATGTTAACAAAATCGTTTTGTTTACCGCGATAGTTTCAAGAATATTTGTTTATTCGCAGGCATTTAGACAATTGTAACATTGAAATGTTCAAACTGTCGCGGTTAACAATACCATTTTATTTACAACACCTATGAAGTTTGACTTTATTTCAAACTTGTTGCAATAGATAATATACATGAAATTGTGTGTAACATATTGCTTACCATGAATACGGACTCGTATCGTCAAAGTTATTACGACAAACGGATGCAACTGTTACAAAATAATACATTGTCACTAATTGCGATCTTTAATTTTTGAAAAATAATAGTTCATTCATTGCGTGTGTGCTTGTGAATGTATGTAATAAACTTCCATTACTTAAAATGTTTCAGTAAAAGTTATTGCATTAGTCAATGGAGATATTTATTTTAATTAATATGAGACAGATGTAATAACGATACTTTTGTTTTTTACTTACAATATTGAAGTATTCGTTTTTATCTAATTCTTCAAATGCATCCATCTGGACGATTGATGTAATCGGCAAACAGCCCGGTTTTCGTACTGCCGAATGATGTTGTACACATTTGGCTATATTTTGTACCAATGACAAAATCCTTCTGCAAAAGAAAAAATAAATATTCAATGAAAATGTTACACAATCAGTATGTGCATTATAAATAGAATACGTATACTCAAAGTTTACATATTTGTAAATAGAGTTAGCTTTTTTATATATGTATATATATATATAAAATGTATGTGTGTGTGTGTGTGTGTGTGTGTGTGTGTGTGTGTGTGTGTGTGTGTGTGTGTGTATATATTGTGACGCTACTCGCGAACGGAACTTCGCGAGCGACGGCAAATTACCGTCGGCTCCCGGACACGCCACTAAGATATCCGCGATAGTTGGGCGCCAGATGCGGAAAGGCCGCACCACCTCGTTAAACGCGAGAGTCGCTAATTAGCACGAAAATCGCGCGTCCCGGAACCGTCGGGACCGGTAGCTCCTATGAAATTAAAGTCGGAGACGGGATGGGTTAGGAGAAGGCGAAATCACTGGACTCGATATTGATAATGATGAGACGTTTATTCGGGGACTCTCGCACGTCCCGATAGTCGGTATACGAGAAGAGGTCGTCACGACAACGCTCCTCTCGAGACGGTACAGTTCGCGAAACGTTACACGAAGCCCGAGGGCGTTTTCCTCGGGCGAGCCTTTTCTACTCGCGCGACCACTCCGCGGACGAGACACGGCACGATACGGGACGATACGCGACACAAATATATTTGGAGCAGATGGTCAATCTTACAAGTTCGGCGACAGCCCTTGCGTCGGCGGCGGCGTCGGCGGTGACGGCAGCGGTGGCGGTCCTCTCTCTCTCTCCGCTCTCTCCCTCTCTCTCTCTCTCTCGCTCCGCTCCCTCCTCGGTCGCTCTCTCGCCGTTCGCTCTCGCTCCGCACTCTCTCTCTCACTGTTCTCTCCCTCTCGCTCCCTCGTCACTCTCTCGCTCTCCCTGCTCTCGCTCTCTCTCTCACGCACTGTCGGTTGTGTCTACAAAACAGGATGCTAGACGTTCGTGAAAGGATGAATGACAGCAATTATCAGAAAATATTTCACTGACTTCAGAAGCACATGAGGACGAGGAAGAAAAAGATTCATCAGGAATCACATGTCTATCATGCACAATATTGCAATTATAACTTTGAATATTATTTGAAGAGCTACACACCCCGGACTACTTGAAACAGGAATATTTTACACATTACAATTCTTTGAAGAAGTAGAACACGTTGGAGTGTCTAATATACAGCAGGCCAAACCAATAATTATCGGCATATATAAAGGTTTACAAAAATCGTATAATGCAAATAGTTTTTTCGCAGCATTAATTAAAGATCTGCAAACCATTATATGCAATGGAGACATAAACTTTTCTGACAGAAAAATTGTAATACGGTTAAGAAGTTTCATAGCTGATGCCCCAGCTCGAGCTTTCATTTTAAATCATCATGGTCACATGTCTAGTAAACCATGCTCAAAGTGCAAAATTTCTGGAGCACTATGCGAAGGTCGTTATGTCTTCAACGGGATAAATGATTCTTTAAGAACGGATGAGGAATATGTTAGAGTATTAGATGAAGATCATCATAAAGAGGGTGAAAGCCCATTATCATTGCTTCCCATAGGAATGGTTTCGCAAGTCTTTTGAATATATGCATTTAGTGTGTTTAGGTGTCGTCAAAAAGCTATTATCGGCATGGATTTCCGGAAAATTTTCACGAGCAGCTAAACTATCGGGAAGATCCATTAATGTAATATGTCATAAATTAGAAATTCTTCGACAATATTGTCCTTCTGACTTTGCTAGACGTTCCAGATCCATCAGTGTTTATTCGAAATATAAAGCAACGGAATTGAGACAATTTCTGCTTTATACAGATCCAATTATTATGTATGGTTTGTTAGGTGAACAATTTTACAAGCATTTCTTATTATTACACTGTGCAATAAGAGTTCTAGTTTCAAAGTCCTCATCCAGACAACTTCTCCATTTCGCAGAACTTGCATTACAAAAATTTGTTCTTCGTTCAGACAATCTGTATGGCACAACTTTTGCTTCTTATAACGTACATGGTCTTCTTACGAATGATGTCCGACGGTTAGGAAGTTTAGATTCTTATTCTGCTTTTCCGTATGAAAGCAACATGTCTATTTTTAGGAAATATTGTAGAAAACCAGGCCTACCATTGCAACAATTTTTCAATAGAATAAGGGAGATACAAATTCATGGGACATCTTATAATCAGGAAGAAGATTCATCTATTCGCGTATCCATGCCGCTCAATAATGGTGCTGTTTTTCCTCAGTATCGTAAAACACAATTTAAAAAAATACTTTTGAGTGTAAATGTACGCGACAATTGCTGCATGTTAGAGAATGGATCAATATGTATTGTCAGTAATATTTTTGTACGTAATTCCTCCTATTATTTAGAAGTTAGGAAATTTTTAAAAGTTGACAATTTTTACGATATAGGCGTCATCCTCATCTGTTGAAATTTTTAAATGTAGTAACTTATGCAGTGATCTTATGAACATCAATGTGAACGAGATTAAATGTAAATGTTATAGAATGCCCTTTTGGCCTCATATTATTACGGATGATTGCGAGAGCGATGAAAATGAGAATCCTCTCAATTTAGAAGACAATACATATATCGTTGCTACAATTGCACATAGTGAAGTAATGTAAAGTTTAAAGTTTAAAGTAATGAAAAGGATGTCACTTTTGGAATAGTCTTAAATTTAATGATGTAAGTGGATTACGCCTACTGGGAAAACCACTATAAAAAAAACGCGCCAAGCTGTCTACCGCAAAATGGTGTGGAAACGATAGCACCCCTTTAATTTTCTGTTCAGAAAGAGTTACGTATATCAAACACAGTACAGCGTGAGCAACTTAAGTAAATAAAGGTTATATAGGTCACAGTATTATACGAATTTTTCAAATATCTCAGCCACCAAGATGCGTGTGAACATTCCAATATTCGTATAGAGAAATGGGACAATTATTGGTTGTATGCTCCAGTCAGCGCTCAGTCATCAGGTAATAAATTTGTATATTTTGTGATTTCAAAGTCTACTTTTAAACCTGTTATTATTTAACATTAACATTTAACATTTAACATTAACATTTAACATTAACATAAATAAAGTAAGAATTGAAAATGAGATTTATGTTTTTGACATAAATAATTATAATTAATAACTTATAACTGTTATTTACTTTGCTGCTTTATTTTCAGTCTTGTAATTGTAATAAAATATTTCAGCTGATACAGAACAGGGTTATTTGAGCTATATAATATGGGATTATTTGAATGACGTACAGCTGGCGACAATAAGGTTGACTGACTTTTTATGCTACATTTCGGAACGTCGCCGAATAGCACAATGAAAAAACAAATTATGGAAACATGAAAGCCCCTTACAAAATGGTAAGCAACAGGCAGAGCAAAAATATTTCCGACAATTTTATGTGAAGCCTGTATATCTCTTCGGGCAGTGGCCACAATCGGTGAGTTATTACCCAGTCAGCATCGTTGAGAGCATGATTTCTTGAAGTGCTCTTTTTGAAGAGTTCATTAAGAATTTATATCAATATATTTGAAAAGTTCATTAAGAACTTATATCAAGAAATGATATCAATAAGTTATATTTTTCGAAGAACTCTATCAAAAGAACTCTTTATAATATCCTAAACAAGAACTCTATAAGATGTCATGGAAAAGAGCCCAAAATGTTGTATTTTAAATGTTCTGATGAAGAGCGCAGTTCTGGTGTAACCGCCGTGAAGCACAGACGTGTTCGGACACGCTCTAACCCGATTTTTGTAATACGTACTCTTGATACCTTGGACGAAAGGACTAAAGATAAAGTTTGCAATAACCAAGTAAAATAAATAAGAAGAAGAAGAAGAAGGATGATGAAGAACGTGTGCACAGTATATGTTTACATTGCCGCACAACGGTATTTTATAACTTCTAAGGGTACGTTTGGAAACTCCACCCGGGTGCATCCGCTATGTTCAAGTGAGAAAGATACAACAGTGCGATAAAGTGCTGGTCTGATAATTAGTCGTGAGAAACAGTGATTCATTAATATTGAATTGTTACAACTAAATACGATTCAACCGTATGTTGACGCCTATTATTATACCGTGTTTTGTGATAGACAAAATAAGTAACATGCAAATCAAGAGCAGAAAGATAGAAGGCACCGTAATAACAATGGATTTCACAGAGATCATAGGTATGCAAAGTTATGTGCAAAGTTCTTACATTTCTTGTATATATCAATTCATATAGATTTTGAATATATATGTATTAATTGTTTCAATTTATATATTAAATGTCTAAATACTTTGCAGTATAATCGCAAAATATACTTTGCACAAAACAGCGTGAATATTAATTTTTATAAATATATTCTTTATTTTTTTCAAAGTCGTAGGATTTATAATGCCCTTGATTTTCTTTTTTATTCTTGTAGAGATTGGGAGACAAATCCACCTCAAACTCTTTCAAGATCAGCGTACACGCCAGTCCAATTTGAGAATTCATTAGGCAAACTTCATTTTAGTAGTGTAACTATCACGTAAAATTATCGATATGGATGTTGTACCAAATAGCGATTCGCAATCAACTTCTCAATTGCAACAGAAAGATACTAAACAAACACGATAACTACTTCTTGAAATTGAGAGGATATATTACTAATGTTCTAACGCATTTAGCAAAATTAATATCTTGATAGCATCTTTTTTCTCATCGAGAAATTATTGTTTTTTTAGCTGTATATAGTTTTACTGAAACTTGAAGATCTGAGTAACCCTCTTACTGTTATCCTGGAGCCACAACAGCAAGAAGGGGAAGCTGAGACAAATGTAAATAAAACTGAACCAGAATTAATCAGCATGATGTTATCGTCTTTGCAAGTACATAATGACAAAGTAGGTAGTATGTATTCGAAAAGGAAAGGTAAATTGACGAAACCAATAATGAAGCTTGAGTCTTAATAAACATTTCGATGTATTAATATATATCTATACGTTTCAGACATTATTACTGCGTTTTGTACTTCACCTGGATATAACGGAATATCAGGAACAGTTAAGAAAATTATGGACTGCAATATTCAAAGGACTAGCTATAATAAGTTGTAGAGATTATCATTTATTAACAAACTTTTATTCCGAATATCGAAGATGGCTTAATACTGTGAAAAATTTTGATACAATACTCTGATTAGCAAGAGCGCTATCGGATTCGATACAACCTGCTAGATAATTTGGCTTTTGCTCTTATGAAGAAGATTAGTTAAGACATTCTTATGATCCTAAATTATTATATCTGTATATATACTTAATCCCAAATTTTTTCGTGAAAATTATTTTACAGAGAAAGTATGTTAAATATATAATCGCGGTGTCTCGTGTGTTATTATTTACTACTATATATATATATATATATATATATATATATATATAGTAGTACAAAAAATATATATATTGAATTTAACTTACTGTTTTGGACTTGTTTTTTTAGTTTGGTGTATCCGTAATAACGGCGCTGTTCGAACAATCAGAACGAGTATGCGCCGCGGAAGAATCCTTGCCTTCTGAATGGTGAACTTTTGTAATAACGATACTAAAATGGTCGGTGACTCGACACCTTGTGTTACACCTTGCCAACTCATTGCTACAAATACGCTCAATAAACATCTTAATTGAATTCCCAACTGAAAGATAGAAAGGTATACAACATTACGATGCTTGTTAACTGATGCCAACTCATTACGATACTCTAACGCTGCGTAAGTAACACTTGACAGTTTTTTCTTAAGTCTGTCTTTTTGTAATGTATAAGAAATAATTAAATTATACCACAAAATATAGACATATTTTAATATTACATTATCATTACTACTGTTATTGGAACATTTATTGTATACGATCATATTTTTAAATAGATGCCATGATTGTACAAAGTATCCATTTATTCTGCATTTAGAGACAGCTTATATATTTAAGACTTCTGGTAATTTACACTTCTGCTCAAATACACTGTATTGATGTCAGGAACGACAAAAAATATGCTGAAAATTCTTGCATATCCAACTAGCAGGGTGACGTCAAAAAACATATTAATGACGCAATTTACAATGTCATTTACACAAAAATTTTCAATGTCTTTTGTAGTCTCAGACATAATCAATCATGAGATTTGTTGACCACAAGTTTTAAGTATGACATTAATTTTCCTTTTTTTAATTCCTAATGCATACTTCACAAACTCTTAGAAATGTAATTCTTTCATAGTTTATAATATTTCAATTTAAAATTGTCATAGCAACATTAATAATGATAATCATAGTTTACAGGTACAATTTTGGAAACGTATGAATCAAGAATTACTTTATTTTCCATTCAACAAACTATCAAAATATGGTTACAGCATCCTGGAGATAAAATTAATACCGCTGAAAAAAAACAAACAAAAGTAACACAGTCGTGATGTCGAAGAAGAATTGTATTTCACAGTATTATTATTTTTATAGAAGTTATAGCTTATATTGTATTTTTTCTATTTCTCGTAGTCAAGAAATTTTATCGAAACATGTTACGATAGTTTAGATATTTTAACTCCTCAGAAGTGGAGTTGCAATATGTGTACAATAGTTTTTGCAAAGTGAAAATAATAAAAACTATTGAATAAACATTAGAATTATATCAAATCTCTTAATATTATATATTAATTATAAAATAATTTAAGTTCTTTTACAACACAAATATATAATATTATATATGTAATATTTGACAAAAAATATTGTTTATTGCAAAATAAAAGCAATTTAAACAATTAATTTTGCCTCCCTTGTTACTTCATTATTTTATTTTACCCATTACAATAACATTTTTGAAGGAGCAATGCTACCTACACGATATCGTAAAGCCTTCCTTCCTTCTTTCTTTCAATATTTGGTTAGAGGCGCATCCATGACTCATGCCCCAACGCCATTACACAGACAGGTGCTGCCATCGTATGTTGTATATCCATTTAAATTATTTGATTCGTTTGTTTCAGAAACTTTGCTATGATTGTAAATATGTTAAGGTCTTTAGTAAAAGCTCTAGAGAAAATATCGTCCCACGGAGAAAAGTCCATTTTAATGAGGTTGGTTATTAAATTGTTAGACGCTTGAATGTGTTTGTTACAATTAAATAAAATATGTTGCCAATTCCTTGAACTGACCCCGCATTCACATGTTTCATCATTAATAATATTTTTATCTATCAAGTGTGTGCTGGTAGATACATGGTACGATTTAATTCTAGCAATTAAAGAAATTGCGTCTCTCTTAGAAAATTTATATTGTTTGTACCACGGGGAATTCGATAAGTTCGGGATGTTTTTCCGGTATCTCCGCCCTTTATATTTAAATTGCTCCTCAAGATAAGCATGAGCTAGTTTTTGGAAATCATGTTTAATATTAGCAATAAAATCCCCACAATAAATGTTAGTGTGACATGTATCATGAGAGGAGAAAGCTGCTGATTTCGCAAGTTGATCAGCAGTCTCATTGCCTATGAAACCACAGTGTCCGGGTATCCAAATTAATGTTATATGAATGTCCAATTGAGAAGCAGATATTAACTTGTCTCTGATTTTATGACAAAGATAGCTAGTCCTTTTTGAAATATTGAGGTTGGAAACATTGGATATGATACTCCTGGAGTCGGACAATATGCCAACTTTGTTCGAACGCAGTTCAATTGCAAGGTCAATTGCATATATTATGGCCTCCGCTTCCACGTGCATAATAACCCGAGAGTGAGAGCAGGGAACAGATGCTTTAATATTATGTGTAGGGGAGAAAATCCCGAAACCAGCCTTGCCATCAGGCATTACTGAGCCGTCAGTATAAATAATACAGTTCAGGTTTTTATGATCAAGTATAGCAGCAGCCCTACGATTCATACCGCTGACTGAGATTTTTTTATGTTTACAATAATAAAAATTCCCTACTTTTTTCCGAAATTTACTCAACTCTGAGAACGCTATGATATCCGTAGAGATATCCATAAATCTATTAGCTACGGGAAAATTCAAGTGTCCCTGATATCTAGGAGGTTCTAAGTTATGGATTTCTTGATAGGAAGAGGATAGCAGGGAGGATTTACGTGAACGAAGTATAGTAGAAATGGAGGGAGCATCTAGAGAATCACCTGGGTTGACGTTGGTGCAATCCGACTCAAGAAGGACTGAGTTCTTCATTTCATGTGAAAAGTTAGGGGTGAGTTCTATGAGACCAGAGAGAGTGATCTTAGTAACTAAAAATAGGCGACGAATAACTAATGGCCATTCAGCGTTTTGATCGAGAAGAACATTGGTGGGAGTCGTTCTCATGAAACCAAGTACGCATCTGAGAGCGGCATATTGAACTCTATCTAGCTGAATTGTACGGCCCGGAGGAAGATCATATAACGCTAATCCTCCATAATCGAGAATGGAGCGTATGAGTCCTCTATATACAGAGAGAATTGTGAGGGGGTGAGAACCCCACTTAATACCCGTAATGGCTTTAAGAATGTTAAGACGTTTATTACAGATATTTAGTAAGGAGGTAATATGTGGCTTCCAAGATAAGGAATGATCAAATGTAATACCTAAGAAAACAGCCTTAGGTGAAATGTTGATGCGCTGATTTAGATACACAATGGGTTGTTTAATTTTGTTGTAGAGTCTGTTTAGAGTTCGAAATCTGGAGAATTTTGCAAAAATACAAAATTTAGTTTTTTGAGGAGCAATCAGTAGATCATGTGCCTGTAAATTTTGGCCAATGATAGAAAAATTGTAATTCAATTTTAAACAAATGCTAGCTACGGACTTATTCCTATAAAAGATGACAATGTCATCCGCATAAGATAATATTTTAACGTCAAGCTCCATGTTTCGATGTATTCCAGCAGAGTAAATATTATATAGGAGAGGGCTCAGGACCGAGCCTTGCGGGAGGCCTATTGAGGTAGATCTCTCGCCAATGAGTCTACCATTGTGATATCCGAAAATCTTTCTATTAGTAAGGAAGGTTAAAATAATATTCATCATCCTAGCCGGTAGACCCATTCCTGAGAGGATACAGCCTAACTTTTTCGGGTTGACATTGTCAAACGCTCTCTTGATATCAAGGAATAGTGCACCAACCTTTTCGTTATTATTAAAAGCCTCAAGGATAAAGTTTTTGAGATATAAAATATTGTGAGCACAAGATTTCCCACTACGAAAACCATTCTGAAAGGTGGGGAGGATATCAAAACGTTCCGCCCATCATTCAAGCCTTCCCTGCAGGATCTTCTCGAATAACTTCATGAGATTGCAAGCAAGTGATATTGGCCTAAATCCAGTACCATTAGGCTTTGGGATAAAGACCATTAGAAAATTTTTCCAAGAAATTGGAACAATACCAGCAATAAAGAAAGCATTAAAAAGATGTCTAATGTAACAGAGAACAGAAGGAGAGAAATGCTTGATAATCTCCCACGTTAATTGATCATGGCCAGGAGCCGTTTTCTTTTTACATATATACTTGAGATTAGTGTCAAATTCAGAGGCATTAATTTCATTAGTGAGAAGATCAAGAGAACCAGTTGCGGTCGGCAGAACACGACGCGCTGAAGAGCTGGTCATGAAATTCGAAAAATTAAAGTAGAACTGTGTGGTGACTGGAGAAGGGGGAACAGAAGAAACTACATTCCGAAAAGAATCCTTTATAATTGTGAGATTGCGTTCAGAGAATTCTGAATTATAAAAAGACGCCTGCTTATTTCTCTGAAAAGATTTGATGGTGTGCCAGACTACTCTAGGGTCGGAGTTTATGTCAAGCGAAGAACAAAATTCTCGGAACTTAGTATTTCTAATTTTACGCAAGTTATTTTTAGTACTTTTACATATTTTATGATAGTTTCTTAAGTTCTTAGAGTTGGGGAATTTTTTAAATAATTTGTACGCTTCAATCTTAGCCTTAACAATGTTAGCGCATTCGTTATCCCACCAACACGATGGGGGTCTCCTGGCCATTCCTGAATGCTGCACCCGCTTAGCACCGGCATACAGAAGGGATGCATCAACATGTTTAATGAGTTCCTCATAGGAGGCAGAGGGATTGACAATATTTGCATGTGAAGAAATATCCTTACGAAGAGGAGCCGAAATTTCATCCAATCTATCTGAAAACATGTACCAATTAATTTTCGAGGTAACATAATGTGGTCTACAGGATATTTTTTCAGGAACTATGAGATTAAACAAAATATGAATAGGGAAATGATCACTACTATGTTTGTTATCAAATACATGCCATTCAAGCACAATCGCCAGCGAGTGAGAAACTATA